CATTGTCACTTTTAACCTTTCACCCACTGAGCCTGGCATTTAAAATGCTATTAAACTCAATCATGTTTCCTATAAACAGCCTTAGAGGGGTGGGAAATAATTGGGATGACATTTTTAATAGGCCCCTGTTTCTCAGCCTTCTGTGCTTGCAGAGAGGAGCTTGTTCGCTGCCTTGTCCCTGTTCTGAGGTGGGGAGAGGGTTATGGAGTGAATTTGGGGGATGCAAAGGGCCTGTTAAAGCACAGAGAATGGTTTTTATGCTGGAGGAGTAGAGCTGCTTTTTCTAATAGTCATTTTGTTTGTTTAGTTCATGGACATAGTGAATCCGGGAGCTGATCACTCCTCCCTTCACATGGCTTCGAGAAAGCTCAGAGCCGAATTTCTGGCCACCTTTAGCCAATGAGTAGGACTTTGTATAATGTATTTTTTTGGCTCCATCTAATTCCCTACTTCTCTTTGACTTCAATGTATATATTGGTCCTCTCCTGCCTCTTTTATTTGCCATTCTATTCTATGTGCCATATTTTATGCATCCTACATTTGCTTTTAGAACAAACTTAAAAAATCAAATTGAATGTTGTCTTTTCTGCTTGTAAGGTTGCGAGGTTTTGGGAGGCCAATTTACCTCTCTGTGCCCCAGATTTAGCTTCTTCATTTGTAAAACAGGGAGACTGACAGTACCTTGCTCTGAGACATGGCAGAGTGGGAGCGGGCATGGCTGCCTACAAAGAAAGATGCATGATTTGGAATGGTTTCTGCTGCTACATCCGGGGGTGGGAGGTGGGGGTAGGGCTGGAAAAATACTGGAATGTAGTGTTTTTGCCTTAATCAGAGCCCTAGATCCTTTTCTCTCAGAATCATGTTGAGAACACATTTATTAACCATTCATCTATGGTTACTAAATACTATAGCCGCTTGCAGTATTAGTTCATCAAATACGTATCGTTGAGATATGTACTACGTGCTCGGCACTGCCTTGAGCCCAGGGAGAGAGAAAGGATGTGCGTAGGAGTATAAATGTGGGCAGATGATGGACTGAGGTGAGGTACTGAGCACAATCCTGGCTCTGCTACTTAATCTCTGTCTCCATTTAACAAGTGCTTACTGAGTGCTGGCCATGGTCTAGGCCCTGTTTTAGGCTGTGGATTGAAGATAATCAGGGCAAGTAAGATCCCTACTTCCTAGAACTTTTATTCTAGTGAAGGGAGAGTTTAAAAACAAGTAAAGATAAACCCTAGAAAGCTGTGTACTTACAATGGCTGAATTTTATGGTGTGTAAATTACACCTCAGTAAAGGTGTTAAAAAGGACAAACCCTTGGCCTCAGGGAGCTGGCCTCAGTGCAGTTGATCCCTTCTTCACAGTCGTGTGTCTCCCAGTACTCATATTCACTCGGTTTATTTGCATCCCCAAAATCAGCATGCCCAGTGATGTTGGGGTCACTCATGGGCACAGCCAGAGCAATGAAAGATTAGAGTGACCTGATGAGCATGTTCCCAGCTGAGGTCCAACCAGATGACACTCAGCTCTCCTGTAAGTGTCCTTCTTGCAGTCTATTGAGTGCCACTTTTTTTTTTTCCCCGCATTGTTGTGCTCTTTTTTTTTTGGTGATTTTGCTGTTTAAAATGGCCTTCACAATGTGATACTGAAGTGCTATCTCGTGTTCTAAGCCCAGGGCCGTGGTGTGCTCTGCGGGGAACATACATGTGTTAGGTAAGCGTCCTTCCGTCATGAGTTATAACACCGTTGGCCATGAGCTCAGTGTTCATACTTCAACAATATGTATTAAGTACAGCATCTTAAAACAAAAACACACACAAAACAAGGTTATGTATTGATCTGCTGCTGGAAGTTGTGTGGCCAGAGACCTGTAGAAACCTACCGTGTTTCCCCTGGGAGCAATGGTGCAGTATTTGCTAATTCAGTGCTCACAGCGACTTCATAGAACAGAGCTACTGTGAATGCCAGGAATTGACTCTGCAGGACAGAGATAAGAATATACGTGCAGCCCATATAACAGATGTCTGTCTGTCTAAAACAAAAAACCCCTGCTATTATTCTTTTAGTAGTTAGAGTAGTGGACTCTGTACTTGTATATACATTCCCACAGAGAACCTGTTTTATTTGGGTGAGCTTTTCAATTTTAAGCATTAGGGGTAACCCTGTGGGAAGGATTAGTGGAAAGCACTAGTATGTACGAGGAAGGTTTTGTTATATAACCACTTATTTATGTGTTAGCATTAATAAGCAAAAGGTGGGCCTTCCCATTTTCTATGTAACTATAGTTTAAATACACTGAAGAGATTTGTCCCTGGGCCTCTATGATACTGCAACAACCATTTGATTCACAGAGCTATAAAAGCGATTTAAATATTTAATAAGTTGTAGCACTTTGAAATTTGATTTTAGTCTTTAATCCCTCGGGTCAAGTTGTGTAGTCACAGTTCAAGTTGTGATGTCAAGATAAAATGAAATACGTAAATTGCAAATGGATAGAAGCAAAGGGAAAGCTCTCAGAGAACTGGCCCCAAACACACGGAGGGAGACGTGGGAAAGGAAGGAAAACAAAGAAGGTAGAGTGGATGTTAGGGTTTTTCTTTACATATTTCTGAATTCTTTTACTCTTTAAAAGGATGCATTTTGAAGTTGAAATAAAAATTTACTGAAAACATAAATGAGTTTTATGAAGGACACAGAAAAGTTTCTGAGACAGAGACTGGCGGAGAGGCCGCTTTGAGGGGATGAGGAGGGACAGACTCTGCGTGTGGCTTCCAGATGTGGCTGCACAGTACAGCGCCCTGGGAGCTCACCGGCGTGCAGGTGCCCCGCACGGTGCGGCTTCATCGCTGCGGAATCCCAGGCGTGGACATCTTAAACACTCCCCCAGGCATTCAGATGTGTGCTCAGAGTTGAATACCAGCTCTCCACCCATGGGATAGTAAGGTTTACCCTCAGGGGAGCCATGGTGTACAGTATGGACGGATGGTCAGGTCAAGGATGACCGATGCGAGCAGAGTGTAGGCAGGGGAGACCACCATGGTGAGGGTGGGGATGGTGGTGAAGTTTGGGGGGTGTGGCAGCTACACTGCTCTTTGAGAAAGCTGTGGGTGACAGGGACCAAGGCCAGCTTGAGTGACAGTAAGTCAGCACAGACTCAGTTTCTGATATTTCATCCTATCCAGTGAGCAGTTACTGAGCACATCCTGTGGGTGTGTGGTTAGTGACTTGAGACAGGCACGAGGACAGGTGAGCCAGCACAGCCCCTGCCCTCCGCAGGGCCACCTGAGGAGAACTGTGAGGGAGAACGTGGGCATGATGGCAGGGCGGGAGTGCGGCAGGGCGCTTCCTGAGGATGGACACGTCGCAGCCTGACGGCCGGTGGGGAAGGCTTTGAGGCGTTCCTGTTGAGCTGGGTTATGAAGGATGAGTGAGATTCTGATAGGTAACGTTTTTTGGGAGCTGGGTTACGAAGAGAGGGGGATTACAACCCCCAAAAGAAAGACATGGGTACCATGTTTTTGTCGAAATAGAGTACATATATAACTGTTGTAAAGAAATAGAGGCAGTTGGACTGGAAGGGAGGTCAGCAGCACCTGGAAAAGGTCTTGCGACCACAGCGATCACATTTTGGGTGGGGGTAGGAAACACCAGGATATTTGGATAGGGCCTTCCATTTGCCAGAGTGCCTCCTCATACCTAGTCTCATCTGACATTTCCCTCCGAGCTTGACAGAACATGTCTGAGACAATAGCACACAAGAGGAGGCTCGTGCCTCCCTGCATACAAAGAGCAAATGACACACTCTGGAGGGAGATGGGTCTGGTAGGTGGGGAGAGTTTTGCTCTTCACTGGATAGAGAAGGCTGAGGACAGTGACCTGTCTCTAGGAACGGCAGGCACAGAGGCATGCACGGAGGGCTGTAACGCGTCATTCCTGCTTTCCGTGCTGCTTTTGCCATGCCCGGTTTATTTCCTCACACCCATGGTGCCTCCTTTAAACATTTTTGTTTAGAGGAGAAGCAGTAACTCTTTACTGATGAGCTGTGTCCAGAGGCTTCCTGGAGAAGGCCTGGCCCTGGCCTCTTCCCCTGACCTGCCACACACTCCAGAGCAGTGCAGGTGGTGCTTCTCCGCCCCAGCTGCACATCAGAAACATCTGGGGAGCTTTAGGCAGCGTCACCCAGACCAGCCAGGGTACCGCAGATATCCTCGGTCTTAGAGACAGGAAAGGGAGGCTGAGGAGTCCGATGGCTGGCTTAGGGCTGCACAGTCGGCCAGTGGCAGAGGCGGTTAGGAGCCCGGGCAGCCGATTCTTGAGCCCAAGCTTCGAATCCCCTGCTGGCTACATTGCCAGAGGACTGATTTGCCAGGTGACAACTACAGTTTTTCTCACAGCACAACTAAGATTTTCAAGTCAGCTTTTGAAACAAACAAACCAGAAGTGTGGGGTGTTATGCCTTGCCCCACGCCCCACAGTGGGAGAGGTGTGAAATCAGCAGCTGGCATTCTCCATCTCTGAAGCTCAGGCTTAGACTTTTGGGGCTGCTGTCCACTCTGTAGTTACCCAACGTGCTTGGGGAATCCTCAGCTAGGTCCTGCGCTTCCAGAAGGCTGGCGGCTCATTCTGTTAGTTTCCGTCTTCCACGGTGCTGGATAACCAAACTCGTTGAATGAATGGCAGACAAATTTGTATCCCTACCACAGAGCTCTCAGCTGCCCAAGCACAGCTTATTTCATTCCATCTGCAGTGAGTACAAGTTTAGATACCATGCAGGGCCCGGGATTGTTTGCTTTGCTTTTGGTGCAGATATTGGGAGGGATGCCGTTGGATGGAAGAGAAGCCAAGTCAGTGCTAACTGTGCATTAGGTAAAACCCTTCATTGGAGGGGCCTGTGGTCTGAGATGTAAAAGGGGTGGGTGCTGGGGGCTGGCGGCAGGCTCCGCTTGATTCTTTTGATGTCACCAAGAGGCTAAATTGGAACTATTTTTCTTTATTTTACAGGTCACTGCCAAGACTGCCTTCTTATTTATTTTACCTCAGTATAACGTTAGTGTGCCTACAGCAGGTAAGCAGAGAACTAGACTCTGACTTTCCCTGGCCCTGTTAACTCTGAAGGACTTGCACAACCTCCTTTACCTGTGTACTTGTATGATCCTTTTAGATTTTTAAACTCAGCATCCAACCTCCTCCTGCTGTTAAGGTACAGCTGCAGGCCACAATCGGCCTTGGCCACGGCTTTGCAGATCTGGGTTCTTGGGGTGCACCACCAGGAACCAGCACTTTCTTCTTTTCATTGCAAAGCCCTGGGCACCCCCTTGCTAAATAAAGAATTTTTGTGAGCTGAATCTAATTTTTTCCTCTTCATTCTGTAGTAGAGAGGTGAGTTTAAGGTAAGATTCCTTTCTTTGCTGGGCTCCACTGATGATTAGATGAAGGACTCTGGGGGTAAATCCCTTAACTCACAGCCCATGGAGGATGTGGCTTTGAATCTTTTCCGGACTTGCCTGGCCCCTGCAGTCCCTGTAGCCAGGCTCTGGGAGAAGCCATGCTTCTGGGGCAGCCACATCGGTTCCTTCTCAGGAGAATCAACTAAGGGATGCTGGCAAGAGAGGACGAAAACTCCATGCTCGTGTGAGAAGAAACAGGAAACACTGTGACCAGCACCAGTAGACGGGAAGCCAGGCAAATGCCGGCCTCCCCCCGAGGCACCCTCCAGCCCTGGCGGGCGCGGTGGGTTGGCTTGCTCGGTGCCCTGAGCTCCTCAGTCACAGTCAGTCTTCTTAGCTCCTAGAAACCCTAGTAACCAAGACACCTGTAAACCAAGCTCAGCTTATGATTGACTCATATAAAATTTTTAAAATTTTAAAAATTATGGTACAATAATGTCAGATTTATTATCTTAACCGTTTTTAAGTGTATAGTTCCGTGACATTAAACACATTCACGTTGTTGTGCAGTCGCCACCACCATCCATCTTTAGAGTTCTTCATCTTGCAGAACTGAAGTGCTGCACCTGTTAAACTAAAACGTTAAAAAACTGCCGCACCTCACCATCCCTCCCCACCCGCCAGCCCCTGGCAGCCACCATTCCACTTTCTGTCTCCGTGATTTTGACTGTTCTAGGTGCCTCATGTAAGTTGAAGCATATAGTATTTGTCCTTTCGTGACTGCCTAATTTTAAATAAACTTTTTTTTCAAAATACATTCACATGGGTGTTGCATGTCTTCCCAAGGAAATTTATAAAATGCAGATAAACATAAGAAGATAAACATCATAAATGACCCCACCATCCAGCAAAAACTACAGTTAACATTTTGGAGTATAGGGTCTTGACCTACTTCTTCTACTGTTAGTATGCAGCAAACCTATTTTCCATGTTGGTAATTGTTATTCCATTCAGGGAGACATTTTGAAAAGTTACAGAGTATTCCTTAATAGGGGTTACCCCAAGTTATCTAGTCTGTCTCCTGTTATTGGATATTTAAGTTTCCAGTTTTTAATTGTAAACAGTGCTAGAGTAAACATTCTTGTGACTAAATTTTTGAAAGTATTAATAATTATTTTCTTAGGATAAATTCCTATTCTGGAATTTCTGAGTCAAGTAGTATGTAAATTTTAAAGGTTTTATATATGTATTGCCAAAATATCCTCGGCCATCTAAATCTTAGAACTCATAAATCCTAAGTTTTTTTGCAAACATAAAATACATAAGCTTTTCTTTTTTCTTTTTAATGTTAGAATGCCAGTTTATTAATTTATAAAGAGATATTCAGCTATCAAATGTTATACTTGTATTTTCGTTACATTTCTCCCTAAAGTCAATTTATATGGGATGCCAGATCATGACCCAGCACAGCTTTGTTAATTTACTGTGAGAAAGTATTGTCCTGGGGACCACAGCAGTTGATATGCACGTGACCAGACAACGTGCCTTTATTATAGGAAGGAACTATTTGTAAAGCCAGATCATGATCAGAGGGTTTCTCAGAGAAATTAGTAGGCAAGTGGTATCTTAAAAGCATCCCTTTCACAGCCAGGATGAGAAGTGTAGACTCAGAGAAATTAGAAGACAAGTGATACATTTAAAAAAAAACAACATTTATTTATAGAGAGAGGGGAGAGAAACGTGACGTGTGAGAGAGAGATTCATTGGTCTCTTCCCTCTTGCACACCCCCAGCTGGGGAACTGGCCCTCAACCCAGGCCTGTGCCCTGACTGGGAATCGAACCAGTGACCTTTTGGTTTGCAGACTGGTGCTCAGTCCACTGAGCTACACCAGCCAGAATGACAAGTGATATCTTAAAAGCATCCCTTTCACAGCCAGGATGAGAAACATAGACTTTATGCCCCAGGGTTGAACTCAGAGCTTCTGAGCATAAAGAGGCTCTGATTTAGGGGTGTGCCAGAATTGATCATATCATGCCTTCATCTGTTTGTTTTAAAAAAATTGATCAAGCCAGACAAACATTTGTGTGCCTCCTCTGCAGCAGGCCCTGGGTATAATTTATAAAACACGCCTGATACCTGACTCATGGAGCTTACCATTTGATTAGGGAGGGATCGATAATAAGCAAGCAAACAATAGTCATAGTTGCAATAATTGTCGCGAAGGAAATACGCACAGTTACATTATAAGGAAAAATAAAAGGGGGATGATTGAAGATGTTTCTGAGAAACTGTCATTTACGCTGCGTATGTATAGGGAGTTGTGTTGGGGTTTTGGCGGTGGCGGGGGGTCTGTATAGAAGAAAGTACATTCCAGGCAGAGGGATCAGCATGTGCAGAGCCCTTAAGAGAGAAATAAACACCTTGGCATGTTTAGTAATTGAAGGCCAGAGTGACTGGAGCCGGCTAGGTTTGGCATTTTTCTAGTGTGGGGCTATTGAATTCTGCCCCTGGAAACCCCCTCCAGGCCAGAACAAGTTCTGGGTAAAGGTGAAGGTACATTAAAATTCATACTGAATTGAGGAGGTTTCAGTTACTTTAGAAAGGGAGGATAAAGTATTGTTAAATAGCCTATCTTTTGTTTAAATCTTGCCATTTGGGGCTATTCGAAATATGACAAGCAAATAATCAAGAGAGACAATGAAATCAGAATAGCCTGCTTAATTTTGTTTTGAGCTCTTTAATCACCGATCCAGTAATGTTTGGTTTGTAAGTACTGAAGGAAAGCAAACTTCTCATGGGAAAAATCCTGTTCACAATAACTGGTCTGTTGAGGTTGTGAATTTTAAAACCCTCTCTGCAAACCTCTTTAAGGCTGGAGGTGCTTGGGAATGTACCCTTTTTGTATACACAGGGCAAATTCTGATTTCTGAGGTTTCTTCTTTATCTTGCGTGTAACTTGCTCAGCTCGATGTTTAGAATTTGAATTTCAGCAGAGCACTGAGTGTTTTCATACGTAGTGGCTTACCATTTCTAAATCCCTGTGTCTTCCCTTGGCTAAGGTTTCAAGTTCCACAGAAAATAGCTAATGGTAATGTTGATGAGTTCTCTTGCTTGTTTTGTTTTGTTCCCTCTTCTTCTCTACTGTCTTCTTACCAGCTCTCAGCATTTGTTTATAGGGCCGCAGTAACCAAAGTACTGAATACCACAAGCCCAGTGGCTTAAACAACAAAAATTTAGTGTCTCAGTTCTTGAGCCTAGAAGTCCAAAATCAAAGCCAGCAGGGCCATGTTCCCTCTGAGGGCCTTAGGGAAGGGTGTGTGCTACCTCTCTCCCAGCTTCTGGTCGTTCCTTGGTTTTGGCAGCATGAGACCCATCTTCACATGGCCTCCCCTCTGCGTGCCTGTCAGTCTCTGGGTCCAGAGTTCCCCTTTATACAAGGACATCAGTCATATTGGATCGGGGGCCCATTCTGCTCCATTATGACCTCATCTTAGCTGATGACGTCTTCAACAACCCTGTTTCCAAAGCAGGTCACATTCTGGAGTGCTGGGGGTTCGGATTTCAACAACATATGAATTTTGGGGGAATACACTTCAATTCCTAACACCAGCTATAAATGTAGGATGTTGTCACATTATTGGTTAGTTAAAAAGGTGAAACTCTGTTCAGAGGGGTGAACTAAAAGAAGAGATGGGCACAGTTGTCGCAGTAATAGCTTGTGCGTCCTGGTGGAGTACCTGCCACGCCTGCATCCTTGCGGTTTTCTTTTAAGGTCAACAGCAGTGAAGCAGGAAATGTTCCTTGTTACCAAATCCCTACTCTACTTATTCCCACTTGTAACCCTGTTAGGGCTGTCAGACTTAGGGGAGGAAAGTCTAAGATCACCAGTTAAATTTGAATTTCAGATAAACAACAAATACTTTCTTATTGTAACTATATCTCAAATTATGCAATTGGAACATAATTTACTAGAAAAGTACTCTTTATATGAAATTAAGTTTAACTGGCTGTCCTGTATTTTGTCTCTCTGTCATGCACCCTGCCCAGCTCTGGCAAGGAATAAAATGTCAGGTTTCTGGTCTTACCATTAAACACTCTCAGTCTTCTTTCTGATGAAAATACCACAAAGCATCTTGTATTATGGCAAGAGATATATAGACTGTGCAAGGTCAGCAAAGAGTAGAGATTTGATTTTTTATTTATTTTTTTATTTTTATTTTTTTGCTGCACAGACAGACTCAAGGCCTTCTGGCTTCCTTTCTGATATAGAACAGGTGACTCAAACAAGCTAAGTGTTTGCAAGGTTGTTTGGCGTTGTGCCACTAATTTGCTGAATTGTCCTGGGGAAACCACTTAACATTGGGTCTTCACCTCTCATCTGCAAGATTGAAGATGATGGTCCCTGTCTCAGCCCCGGTGTTTCCTGAAGACAGGAAGCCCTAGGAGGCCTCCCAAGCACTTGCCCCTCAGATCTCTCACAGACCCACGCCATCAGCTTGCCCTGGGAACTTGTAAGAAACCTCAGCCTCTCAGGCCGCACCACAGAGCTACTGTGTCAGAACAGGATCCCTGGTTAAAGTCTGAGAGCAGTGCTCTAAACGCCCCGGGGCAAAAAGCTCCAAGTAGCCTTTCGAATGACCCCATCCTTCTAACCCCAAAGGTATGACAGGGCAACC